CGCGGGCAACACACCGTAGGCACATTCCACTAGTCAGTCCTCGTTATCCACCTTACGCCGTCTGCTTGGGTCCATTGATAAGAATGCGTTGCAGGTGTCAACGCACACCTCAGAAGCAGAGTGTCATGGGCGTTACCGGTCATAGGCAGGTAACGTAGGTGAGCTTATGACAAGTGTCAAGTGAACGAGACATCCCTCTGATGATTTTAAGGATGTGTGTCTATGGCGGACATCTTTCGAAAATGATTACCCCCAGTATTATACTATGATAACTTACCATCACCGAACTCAATTGCCTATGGAAATGCTGTGAGTCAAGTTCGCATTATCCAGGTCAGTGGAAAAGTAGACAGCATAGTCAGCCCAATCGGATACCGAGCAATTCATGCCGCCGTATCCACCAAGATAAACAAATAGTGATACGGAATGATTTCGGTGGATGAATACTGTGACTGCACCTAGATGACCGTCTCCAGATAAGAGGTGGCCTAATACCGGCTGTTCGCGATATACCCCATTAGGGAGGGGGGGTGCGAGCGTAACATTATAGTTATACGCTTAGTCCCAGCTAGGATGTTTATGCACACAGGACACGCACTGTACAAAATAAAGTCGTTCATAGATGCGATATTTACGCAGAAACAGTCGAACATATGGTAATATTCTTTTATTGATTGTACCTGTAGCTCGGCGCGCTGGTCGTGATGTTGAAAGTCGCGCTAACCATATTGCCTAGCTTGGCAACGAAACGTTTACAACTGAAATAGGTAGTTAGGAGAAAAACGCTACACGCAACACTTTTGGTGTTGAAAAAAGCGTAAATCCCGAAGTTGTGATAAGTAAACCGAAAGCCAAACAAAGTGTACCGTTTGTATAGCCTTCGGTGGTGTGAGTGCCGCACTGTAGTCTGTGGATTATCAAGCTAATGTCATATGATTAGTTACCGACAAAGTATCCAAAGAATAGCGGTTTTGCATGAAACCGATAGTGCATAAACTCAGTTAGGACATAAACACCAGAAAAGCAATATCTGCTCCCTGTTTTCCAGCAAGATGAGAGGCTCAAACCATGACAGCAATCGCACTGGTATGGGGCTGTGATTCAAGGAGACCAGCGGGCGTAGGTGATCGACATGAAGAATTAATTAACAGGACGTCTCATCTTCTAAGATTGGTCGCCCTACTGAAGTAAATCGCATCAAAGTTCCCACTAGATTAATTACCGGAACCCTGTAGTAGGCGTTTGCAGATAAGTTAAAGGTTTCTCCAGTGGTATCAGTGAATTTAACAGAAATAACAATGTAGTTTATTCATCCTGTACTCTCAATGTCCATTAAGTATGCACTGATTATCAAACGAGCGATTCGTTTGCCAGACGCAGTGTGTTCCTATGGCTGAAGATCGGGAGCCGGGTTGCAGTGGTTAGTCCAGTCCACAACGACAAGGAAGTAATGGAACAAATACCAGGAAAACAGTGCCAAAGTCTACTTGAGTCCGGTCAAAGAGTCCACAGATGATAGTGGTGAAAATGAGTTGAGAGAAAGCGTCGTCCCACAAAATGGGAATGGGGGCTATCTGACATTGCTGTGATTCGGCTCTATTCGTAGCTGTCCAAGCGAGTTCGGTAGTGTGTGAATGATACAAAGGAACGTGATGATTTGGCGACAAGTTAGCCAATTTCGCACGGTTCTAGCCTATGCTAGAGTACATCTATCAGTGGTCAGAAAGCATTCACCGTCGAAAGCAATGAATAAAAACTAAGACTAAGGACAAGCTATCTATCACAATGACATCGAAACAGTTAAGAGTATTTGTAAGGGGATAGGAATGAAACTGTGTTGACACGAATTTGAAATGTCTCATTCAAGTTAAGCAAACACTGATGTGGAGAAAATGTCGGAATTGGAGAAGTGATGTTCAGCGTAAATGCAACGAGTGCGAGAAAGTATCTTCGTGAGTATGGCACACAAGAGAAAGTAAGCAGCAATTAAGTCATGAATTGAAGATGACTTATGGAATGGAAAATTCAGTCGAAGGCAAAAAAGAAAAAGATAAAAGTTAGCGAAAGAGGTGCTGTAAATGTGGTGAACCGGGCATCTGAAGCGAATGGGCGTATAAGCTCAGATATCGATTCGGTAGCCCACACAAGAAAGAGCCTGCGTAGAGATGGTCTGCTCGATCGTCGGAAGCGGTTCCTTCACCAGCTGAATACGGGAGCGGCTTGCAATAGCGGCGACATCCATGTGACATGCATTCAAGCGAGCGGTATTCCTGCCCAACCAGGTCATAAGCTCATCTGACTCACAGGTGAATATAACCGAAACAGCCAGTTTGGAATCTGGACCTGAAGCGTGAAAGGACAAAAGAGTTAGTTGTGTTGATGAAATTGCCACACGTATTCGCGATAGGAATTACAAGTAACTCAATGGGGACACGAGAAAGCGGAATCTGACTACCCTTTATATGCTTTCTGTCAACCAACGCAGACAGAAGCGTCTTGAGCGTCGTAAACAATATTACCAAAAAGCAGTGATAATAGAATTTGCCCCTCAACCGCCAAAACACAACAGTTAAATATGCTAGGATCTCTACTGAGCTCCATATTAGCGAAATCCAAATAGGGTGTGCGGTGCTGGGGGACAGCTTTCACAGCGAGTATGAATGGTGTTTATCGTTCGCTCTCGTTACCACAAGACACGAACAGCGAAAACTAAATTGCTACGTGTCACACAACAAGTGTCGATATATTGCCGTCCAAAATGAGTTAATTAGAGTAGGTGAAAGTGGAAACAATAACTTCATTTGTAAACTAACCAGTCCAGGCTTCCTTCCCATAAAGCATGGCATCCAACAAACGGACCGACGGTCTGGGGTCGGTGACCACGTAGAACCGGGCGCGTACGCGTTTGAACCACTCGACATCGACCAGATGTGGGTTTCCGCCCCCAGGAAGGAACGAAACATCGACATACAGCGGTTTTATCTTGTCGTATGGAGGCAACATGGTGCCCATGCTGGTGACCGCATAACCTGATGCCTCAGTGTAACCGGAAGCGAAAGCAGCGCCGGATGGATGTTGCAGATCGTCTGAACGGTGGGCTATAGGGGAAGATGAAGCCAAAAGGCTGGTAATAAAGCAAGCCTGTCAAATTACTTACGATGCCGACCTTCAATATGTGCAGTGAAACAACCTGTGGATGACTGAGTGGATGTTAACCCGAGGGCAATCAAGCACAGTGGACTTTCGTGGATAATAAGAACGAAATGAAACAAGAAAATAAGTAAGCCGTGAAACTTTGAAAGTGACCACTGAAAGAGGATAAGGGATTCATCTAGATTGGAGAAGTTCAGTAAGCCTTTAATCACATTCTACAAGAAATGAGAAGGCAGGAGCTGACCCTAATGTTAACCATTAGTGGAGAAATGTTCACGGTGGCCACTGATGTCAGCGACATCGGAGTCGGCGCAGTTTTGAAGCAAAGCTACGGAACGATCGAGTACGCCAGCAGAATTTCGACACCGGCAGAACGCAAATACGTAACCCTAGAGAAGAAATGTCTCATAATCGTTTAGGCGTTGGACAAATACCGGCCGTATCTACTAGGTTAGCGATTTCACGTCGAAACGGACCAGAAGCCCTTGGAATCGATCCAGTCTGCCAATGACCTCAGGAGAAAGCTAGCGCGATGGGCGTTGCGCCTTCATTAGTTTGATTTGGAGAATGTCAGAATCATAGGCAGGACAAAAAGTCGAAAAGCGCACGAGTTCATCGAAGCTTGGTACTCGGGGAAGAACTCAATCACCAGACACTTAGATCTAGATACTGCCTACGAAGCACTGAGAGTCAAACCAATACTCCGCCCCAGATCAACATGACAAAGGAACGTCATTGAAGTAGACTCTAGCCAACAGTACGCAAACGCTGACTACACGGTCAGCTCACGTGGACCAATCGAGTGCCGACGTTCGAATCAAGTGATCAATAATCACTTGGATCTGTAAGTGGCCCGCATAAATCGCACTGATGATCTCGTCTAGCCTGACGATGAAACGTTTGCAGCCAAATCAGCCAGCTCGGAGAAAACCCGCATAGCCTCATAGGGTTGGCGGCATCCGGTTTCGGATTTGCCTGTCACTGTGGCCAACCACAGGACGCCTGCGCCTACAGAGGGACCATGGATGGCTTGCGCTGCACCACCCACAGCTCCAACCACATACCCCATATCCAGTGTAAACCCGAAGGAATAAGACCGGGAGGCATGCGGATGGAAACCACGTTTCATCAACGGAGCCGGCCCGCACTTCTTCACAGGCAAACACAAGCACGCTGTATTTGGGGAATCAACCGCACACAAGGCGGTGGCTGGACCGTAGTCCGCTCCACACTCAGTGCATGGAACCACTCTTCGAGCCTAGCACGGCCACAAGGACCGTGCACCCCGGCCCCTCCAGCAACGACCAACTGTCTCCTGGAGCCAGTATGGACGAGGTAGTGGGTAATAGACAGGTAGACACCTTGTCAACATGCACATCAAGCGCATCCACACCGGGGATATCAAACAACAGCCAAACACTTGAGAGAGAGAGAGAGAGAAAGAAAAAGAGAAAAACTCGGTTAATGCATAAGGAAACGGTGATATAGACCTTAACTAAATAGCATATGTAATAAGTTGTTTACAAACAAATCCTAGCTAAGTGCACGAGGTCAGGAAGTATAGTTCACGGAATGCCACGAACACAAAAATGTTATGGAAATCGAATACAGTTGGCTTAGGCGAGGTGTGCAAGTTAATGGAATAGAGTAAAGGGAGATATTTATATGAGAAAGAAAAGCATTGGGACAAAATTGAAAACCCACCACCTGAAATAAAGAGACTTAGCATGCAAGCACGCGGTTAGTAAATCGAATTCAGCGTGCCTACAAACGCTGCGCCGGCTCGCCGTAATTCTCTGCAGGACCCGTCGTCGCTTCTGTAGTGGCCCCAAAGGACCTAGCTCATGGCCCACTAGACATTTATATGAGAAAGAAAGGCATTAGGACAGAACCGAAAACCCACCACCTGAAATAAAGAGACTTAGCATGCAAGCATGCGGTTAGTAAATCGAATTCAGCATGCCTACAAACGCTGCGCCGGTGCTGCCTACGTTCACTGCGGGACCCGTCGTCGCTTCGGCAGTGGTCCCGAGTGACCTCTCTCATGGCTCACTAGGCCTGCCTGACTAAGGCACCCGCGACCGCATGTTCTACAGCACCATGCGCTCGATGTCGATGGAGTACAATTCATTGGTGCTTGCCGCTTCCGCACTTGCCGCTTCTTCTCTGCATGCATGAGGTCTTTCTCCCGCACTTCAGCAACTGCCTTCGTGATGAGATCGCGCCATGCACGCCGATCAACCGCCTTCGATTCCCATGATCTGCAATCAAGGTTAGAACGCGTGAGGCTCACTTTAATCATGTCCTGGTAACGTAACTTGGGTTTCCCCACGTGCCGCTTCCCAATATTCAGCTGACCGTATAAAAGTTGTTTCGGTATCCGCGCCGAATCCATACAGCTCACATGACCGAGCCATCTCAGGTGTCGCAGTAAAAGTATGCAGTCTACTGCATACATCCCACTTCGGCGCAAAATTTCCGTGTCTGCAACTCTGGCGCCCCAGCCGATGCGCAAAATTCGCCGCAGACACTGCTGATGGAACCGCTCGAGATATCGCACATCCCGACGGTACATCGTCCACGTTTCACTGCCGTATAGAAGAACGGACAGTACCATGAATTTGTACACCATCAGCTTCGTGCCAATGCTAAGCTGATGGTTGTTCCACACTCGGTACTCAAGCTTCCCGAATGCCGCTGCCGCCTTCGACACGCGATTACGCAACTCAACGTGTAGCTGCTGATCAGTCGACATCACACTCCCAAGGTAGCAAAAGCGGGAGGTGGTTTCCAATACTTCAGCACCAATGCTGATTTGCGGCAATATTGTAGATTGCACCTCCGGTGAAGGCTGAAAGAGACACACAGTTTTGCTTGTGTTGATGGTGAGCCCGAATTTGGCCGCTGTCGAAGCCAGAGCACTAGTCATGTGCTGCAACTCATCCGCGCTGTGTGAAAACAACGCACAGTCGTCAGCAAACAGCAACATACGGATAGTTGTCTCACAGACTAGAGTTCTCGCACCGAAACGACGGATGTTCAGCAACCCACCATCAATACGGTGCTCCACACGAACACCGTAAGCACAAGCCGCATCAAAAGCACAAGACAACATTGCATGAAGATATATATTAAACAGGGCAGGAGCTAAGACACAGCCTTGCTTAACACCAGAGACAACTGCAAAGTCATCCGAGGTCTCTCCACTCAGCTGCACCCTCGCTCGCATACCACTGTGCAGACATTCAATTGAACTTAAGAGATGACGCGGGCAACCAAACTTACCCAACACCAGCCACAATGCCTCGCGGTTCACCGTATCAAATGCCTTGGTGAAATCAACAAAAAGCGAGTAAAAGGTTGGTGTCGTTCTCTGCACTTTTCTTGCAACTGACGAGCCGCAAACACCATATCTATAGTGCTGCGACCAGAACAGAATCCACACTGCTCCTTCGCCACGTTAGGTTCCACAACCCGACTGACGAGGCGGTTGAGCAGGATTCGGGCAATTATCTTGCCCACACAACTCAGAAAGTTGATGCCACGATAATTCGTGCAACATTGCTTGCTACCTTTGCCCTTGTACAGTGGTAGCACAAGGGCATCCTTCAGCTCAGCAGGCACCTCCTCCTCAATCCACACGCGTTGCACCAAGTGGTGCAGCGCAGTCAACAACGCGGGTCCACCGTGTTTCAATACTTCAGGCGGGATCCCGTCACCTCCGGCACATTTGCCGTTTCGCAGCTGAGCAAGTGCTCTCTGCGTCTCATCCAGTCTCGGCGTATCCACCAGATCCGCCTTCACATCGTGCTGCTTCAGGCCATTCAATGTAGGCCAGTCGATCTCTGAACGGTTGTTCAAGGGACGGCCAAAGTGCTTCCGTCAGATTTTCATTAAAAAGAAATAAATAAATAAATATTTCATTCCCGACTATGCAGTCTGCGTGGAAGTAGCGCCTGAACTACCATCGATCAGTGTCCTCAGCGGCTCCAATCTCGCTCCATACACCGCCATCAAGGAGTCAAAGAATTCCTTGTGTTGACGGCGTTCGGCGTAGCATTCCATCTGCTTCGTCTTCTTCGTCCACCATGCATTTATAATGCGGCGGAGATTTCGGGTCAGTCGCCGTCGAAGTTTGCGAAACTGACTCTTCTTCCCCAAGTCACTGGGGTCTGTCACATGTGAAGCAAATGCTGCATTCTTCTCTGACACCAATGCGTCAATCGTCACATTGTTGTCATCAAACCAATCAGGCCGCTTACAGTTTGCGCGCCCGATGGTCTCCTCCGCAGCAGCTGTCACCTGGTCGCGAATGTGGTGCCACAGGTCGCCCACTGTGGCTATACAGTCCACATCACCACACAGGCGTGCAGCCATCGCCTTCTCCAGCTCAGTAGGTTTCGCCACAGTACCGAGGGAGAGAATGTTAAATTTACGCCGATTCACGGCGGGAGTGCAATACATCGATTTACGAAAATATATGTACTGTTTGGTCCGAACCAATTTGTGATCAGTGCCACACTAAGCTACCTTGGCCAGACAAAACGGATCCTTCTGAGGTTAACTGTAATTGTACAACTACACCTTTGTCCTAGTTTGTCGTTTGTTGCTGGTTCATGCCCTTGGTCGACACGTGATCAAAGCTCATTTGAACTGATCGAATTCACTTTTGCGCGCATTGCTATTTCACTCGTGATTGTACGGGTCTGAGGATGAATCATCGAAAACAATTGTTTACCTTGGGTTTTTGATCTTGATAATGAAATGGGAATTTTCCAGTTACTGAAGTTGAGACAATTTGTCTGACTTTTAACCACTAACCCATTTGACACGAGTGGTTAGAAAGTCAGTTAATAAGTACTAACAGGTGTGAAGGTATACGAACTGGTGCATTGCATTAAGGAGCAGTTTTGTCATGCTGAGATCTGAGACGATAGTGTGTACATACCAATGGTACGTGTAGTCCCTTAGTAAGACCGCGAAACATGATTATCGTACCGTAAGGGGCTAGTTCCTAATTAATAACTGCGGTAGATTTTGTGCATTCTTGGATAAGACGTAGTGCCGGACAGTAAAATGATTCGCGAGGGCAACGTGTCCGGAATGCAGTGCAAGCAGTTTCTTGGACACATCACGTAGTTTGGTAATAACCA